AACGCCGAAGTTAAAAATCATTTTCAAATAACTTTAACTAATTTATCACGTTTTAAACCATTAAAGCGTTTTATTTAAATGTGTACTTACTCGCGTAAACTATAGACAGTATTCAGACACAGTCTTAAATCAAAATAAAAACTTCTTGACTTCGTATATACGTACAGGTAAAACATTTATGAATTAACTAATCTAACATATAACAGATTCCCATGTACTGTATAAGATAGGGCACAGAATAGTGCGAACAGTAAGTTATCAACGCACTTGTTTATTGATAGCCGCAATTATAGCCAAGTGACTATTAAGTAGGCACTGGGCCGTTTAGCTACGATAGCGCGTTTGTTTATAGCCTCTAGTGTGGTCCCGCGTATGGAACAATTAATGTATCTCGCGGAAAACCATATTTTCATGGCTTCACTGAATTCTGTGTAACATTCATTTAAATTCAGTAAATATTTAAATTATAAATACTATAACTAATTTTACGCTCCTATTTTGAGTGCCCATAAGCCATTTTAAAAATGGGTATAAAATAAATCTTAGCTCAAAAAGAGAGGGAGTATCTAGTTATGGTTATGATCTAGAATCTATCATCAAACCTTTAGTTTTACGGTGAGTAAAGGAGTTAAAAATCGGTGATATTTAAAAATAATACGACTAGAGCAGGACTTGAACCGGGATCAGCGTTCCTTGCTCTACCAATTGAGCTACCGAGTAGGTCTCGGAATGGGTGGCTCAATAATATAATATCCAGACCGAATATGTATATAAATATGTGTACGTTTATGGGATTAGAACCAAGGATACTATATTTCTTAAAAATAATAACAAATCCACTAATCCCCGTGACCAATCATCCGAAACGTCGGGTCGTTGTTAAAAACAAGTTTAGCTAACAAATATCGCGTTTTAAGCCGTTAAAGTGTTTTATTAACTAACTAACAGCCTAAAAATTAAAAAATACTGATTTTTTTAACTCTGAACTTCTTAGATAATATATTAAATTCTTATTACAACTTGATACATTGAACAAAATTAATATAATAAATGCTTATTGTAAAGCAGTTTTGTTAATTGTAGCTATAAGATTATGATATACATTTGTGTATGGTAGATGACTTATATAAAGGCATTATACAGGAGCCTCAAGCAACCAACCGTGCGCGGGTACAGTTAATTAAATAAATCGTTATCGATGAAAGCCTTCAATTCCACTTCGCGTACGAGGTCGATAACCTAAAGCATAACCATAAATTTTTGAATGCAGGACAATTTCCCGATCGATATTCTAAAAAAATCTATATGTTTAATTTATATATTTCTTATATCTGGCTTCGTAGTTTTTGAGAGACGTTGTTAAATGATATCCTGGGCTTATCAAATTTATGGGCATAGTACGGAAGGTACAGTCGAGTCGTGCGGCAGGCCAGCCCGGGTGACTAGATAGTATCTGTGCACGAATGTACTTGTACATACCTCTGTATGGTAGTTGCCTGTTCTATTTGTTGGTTTTAGGTTCTTAATATTTCGATATCTAATAATAATAATAAAAAAACCACGTCATATTATTGATGACTTTATATTTTCCGGAATTAGAACCCAGGTTTTTGGTGAAAATACAGACTAGTTGGTTACTCTTCTTTGTATGTGCAAAATTGCCTGTATATTTTAAATAAAGACATTTTAAAGGAGGTCTGTAAAATATCGTATGTAATAAATTTTAGAACTTAGCCGATTTCAAACAAATAAATAAGTTATAAATTGACACCATAAACACAATTACTTACAAGTATATATAGTTAAATAATATACCACAATTAACTCAGATAATAAATAGCAAACGGAAGTTTTCCAAAAATCATATATTCTAAACGCTACCCTTGAGATTTGCAAGTATTAAACTTAAAATAGGAAGGAAACAATGTTAATATATCTATGTCTAGCTAGTACAGTCTAGATCGTGTGTGAACAAAGTGTAGTTAGTACATTAAGATAAGATTACTGGCGATAGCACAACAAACTATCCATTAGCTAAAGGAGCCATGTTTGACCTTTACTTAACAATATTACCTGGATTCTATTGGCGATATACTAACTAAATACTACGTAATGTTAGTAGAAGTTTTTTTAGTACCCATTCGTTTGAGACTTATCTGTAGTTTACGTAGTACATTTAAATAAAACCGTATGAAACGCGAATTTTAGTAGCTAACTTATACTTAATTTATTATAACCACACTTGCAGCAAAACGTCGAGCTGTAGATAAAATAAGTTGACTAAGATATTTCACGTTTTAAACCGTAAAAAAATAACTATTGTTGGTTAAATTGTTTCTTGTATTTTTAAAATAAGAAATATACTAAAATGGCCCAGTAGATGTTCCACTTAGCAATAATAATTTTGTGTTGACTATGTATATATCTATGTTTTTAATAAACCTTGATTTAAAACAGAATTATGGTCTCTAAATATAAATAAGTTTCAGCATCATTTCCGATTACGAAAAGCGCGGAGTTTGCGAAAATTACTCAACGGTGGTCCGCGTCCGCTGGCCAATTTAAAAAAGCCTGCCCTTTCGGAGAAACGTTCTCAAAAACGCAGCCTCATTAATCTCCGCATTACTCGATTCCGGGCGAGAAATAAAGTTTCCGTTAAATTCTTAAAAGTGAACGAGTGCAAAAAGCGCTATCGATAAATAACAGGGTTGAGCGACATGGCTCGCTCGTGGTGACTGCACATAAGAAAGATCTCATCTCAGCTGCCTCGACCAGCATTCGTGTACATAATGATATATGCAGCGCCCCCGCCGCTGCCACATACGAAAACAGGTTCGCGTCAGGGGCCTTATAAAATTGCAATATTTTAATAAGCAACTGCCGCTGAATATAAATTAATTTGCTATATAAAAACGCATGCGCATATGAATAATCGAGCACGCATTACTTTTCGGACTAATTAAGTTGAGATGCGGTTATCGTGTGCTGTTAAATGAAAATTGTGTTCAAATTAATGCGTCGCTGTCGAGCAACAGGTTTTCTTTGCCACTAAAATTATCTCTTCATAGCGACATATTTAGAAATCAACTTTTTATTAATGGTTGACTGGTGGATAATGATTCAAGGACATAGTTGACGGTGTAGTGTCTTAATCAAAGGCGTGAAAAACTTGTAAGCGGAAAGGAAACACTTATACTTTTCTATCGTTACCATTACTCCATACACTTAAACCGCTACAACTGATTCTTTTCTAAGGAATTTAATTAAACTCTTTCCTTACTTTATCTGTGATTGCTTCGACGAGATTTCTAGAGCACATATCCAAATAAAATTAACTCATTTGAATAGTGTAATTTAGTGAAATGCATCCATAATCGACTGACCAATAATATTTCTTATCGGACCAAATAATTATCAGTTAACGTTGAATTGATTTAGGTCGAGGACCGAAAAATGGCGGCCGTTTATGGTTAGCAAAATCGAGCCTTCGCATTTTATGCGTCCACTTTTTGTCCCAAGTCTATCGCATAATCTGACTTTTGAGTTTCAAATGTCTTGATTCACACTTAATTAGTACCTTATTTGTAGTTGAAGTAAAGCCTTTTTGCGAAGATTTAAATCCTAATTTAACGACTTAACACGTCTTATATATCAGCTATTCGACATTTCTCAACATCGATAACACGACCAAACATGACGAAAGGTATTTCAGTGGTTCTGTTTTCCTGACCGTACAGCAGTACAGCTCGGCTCCAAGAATTTACGTTTAGCTTCCACTTGGATGTTTGAGTTACCGTATTTGGTGTTCGAGATGAGAATGTATAGTAAATTTAATGAATAGATCCCTTCGCGTGTCGTTATGTGAACATAGATGAAGACATTACACAATAACGAAATATAAAGACTTCATAGCTTTCTGTTCCGCTGCACGACTAGATGGCATTATAAAGCTGTATAAATTTTTTTAAAGGTGTGCGGCGCATGAGCATGAATAATTGCAATTATTAATTAAACTTCAATCGTGCAATGCGCCGTCCACGTTTCGATCGAAGAGACGGTCGGGACAGATCAAAGGGCCATCGAAACGGGCTCAGTGAATTAAAACATTGCAAAGCAGCTATCCATAGATGTCTCGCTCGGGCGATTTCAAAAATGGCGTCTCGGATCGCCGGTTGGCGAGTGGCGAGTGAGTTTTTCGCGACCGTCTCCACTCGATAAATAATGTCGCGGGCTCTGACAAAAACTCACCTAGTCCTGTTCGGTGGCCGGCGGTGCCCTTCCCGCTCGCCCTTCGCTGCCTCTTTCTGCCCGCTTTCGAAGTCTTTTTCTGCCTGCGCCACGGCGCCGGCGCATCGCGGCCACTTCCATTATAAACCTAACTATTTACACGGCTAAGTAATATCTACTTATATTTATGGCAATTTGTTTAACCGACTATAATTGCAGGAACACGACCACGTTACACTAATGCGAGAGTATCGAAGGTTGATAGCGGTTAGTCTGTTTGCGCGCGAGTCCGGCACGGATCTATCTAACTTACGACTCCTAACTTTAAGGGTACGAGACCGAGTCTCTTTGGTAGGCATATTAATTTGTACAATGAGTTCGTTTCACCAACTGCGGTCGCTCATAATGACAACACTACGATAGATCTACACTATGATACACGGAAGAGATTTCTACAAATTGCACTGGTTTTTCGAACGCGAACATCTAAGATTTAAATTATTTAAGATAAAATATTAGCGCGAATTAAAATATACGTAAATAATTCAATAAATCAACAAAAACAAAACCCGAAACACAAAATAATACGACCCGTTTCTATACTAACATTAACAGTTTATTCATCATACAAGAGAACATGTTTCGTGAATTTAAAAAGAATCACAACAACCGAACAACACTTAACGAAAATAATTACAAACAATTTACAAACACAAAGAGCTAGGGACTGTCCGGATTGCTCGGTGCAATCGTATCACTTAGGGAGCGCGGATTTAGTGCTCCGGGTGGCCTTGCGCGGCTGCCGCTGCAGCGGCCGCCGCTGCGGCGGCCTTCTGCGCCTGCGCCTGTTTCTCCTGTTCGTTTAACTCCTTTATCGCCTGTATCTCCTTCTTTAACTTCATCCTTCGATTCTGAAACCATATTTTGATCTGCCGTTCCGTGAGACAGAGCGCGTGCGCCATTTCAATGCGTCTCCTTCGCGTGAGGTAGTGGTTAGTGTGGAATTCCTTTTCTAATTCTAGCGTTTGATATCTTGTGTACGTTTGTCTCCCCCGTCTTCTGAGGCCTTTCGCCCCTGAAACAAAGATATAATAATCGTTACTGTTGTTCACTTGCTTAATTAATTCAAACAAAATTTGGCAAAATACTTTTAATTACGTTGCTTAATTTAAGTGACATGAATTGTATCTCCTTAGATCGAGAATAGACAATAGACTTATACGTCATATCAATTTTTACAGACTAAATATAACAAATTAACTTACAGACTAAACATATCGCCCCCCAAGGACCACCTAGGGTCCTTCAGTAGTTACATTCTAATGATTATTTACCCAATACCTATTTTAACAAACAAAATTTGTAACTTAACATATGATCTCTCTATCCTAGTCTTTACTAAATTTATCTTTATGTTTGGTACAAAAAAAAAACTTAATTAATTATCATCCAAGGGCAGAGGACATAGCTTTGTAACTGCTCTTTTAATAATAGTACCACCTCTTGTTTTCAACGATGCTACTCTTACTATTCCATCGGACCCTGGATGGATATGGACAATTCTACCCAAAAGCCATTTACAGGGAGGTAAGCGATCATCTTTGATTAAACAAATTGTATCTAAACTAATGTTTCTTTCTTTTGTTGACCACTTATGTCTTTGCTGTAAAGTAGTTAGGTATTCTGATTGCCATCTACGCCAAATACTTTGAACAATTTTTTGAATGGTTTGCCATCTATCCAGATAATGAGTTTTTACATCTTGTAAAGTTTCCTCGGGCACATGCAAAAGAGGTTCCCCAACAAGAAAATGACCTGGGGTTAAAGGAGAATCATCAATAGATGAACTAATTAACGTTAGTGGACGAGAATTAACACAAGCTTCAACTTGAGTAAGTAAAGTACAGTATTCCTCGAAAGTTAGACACGTTTGACCAATAGTCCGAGTGAGATGACCTTTAATGGACTTCACTCCTGCCTCCCAGAGCCCTCCAAAATGTGGACTTCCTGCAGGGATGAAATGCCACGTTGTATTAGAGTTAGCTAACAGTTCAGCAATCTCTTCAGTTACTTTAGATTTAGAGTTTTTGAAAGCAAGATTTAGTTCACGTGAGGCACCTACAAAATTTGTACCACAGTCACTCCACAGATCTTGGCAGTAACCTCTACGAGCTGTGAATCTTCTAAATGAGGCAATAAAAGCTGAAGCTGTTAAGTCACTGACTAACTCCAAATGAATGGCTTTTGTTACAGTACATACAAATAAACAGATATATGCTTTGCAAGTTCTATTACACTTCCCTGGATATAATTTAAGAGTCACTGGTCCAGCATAATCTACACCACTTGTACGAAAGGCACGAGCAGGATTAACTCTGAACTGCGGTAAATTTCCCATAAATGGAGTAACAGATATGGCTCTTTGTTTATAGCATGAAATACACTGATTAATTACTTTTTTGACTAAATTCTTACAAGAAATTATCCAGAATTTTTGTCTAACTAAATTCAACGTTAACTGAATTCCTCCATGTAGTGAATTTAAATGTGCATTAATTACAATGAGTTTAGCCAAGTTACATTCATTAGATAATATGATTGGATATTTCATATCTGAAGAAATATTTGCATTTTTCAATCTGCCACTTAGTCTTAAAATATTTTCTGAATCTAATATTAGACATAGACTATGAAGTTTATTAGATTTTGGTATACATTTTTGTTTTAACAATAATGAAATTTCAACTGAAAAATGAAATTGCTGTGAAAGTTTGATACAAATCTTTGAGGCAGTTTTAAGTTCATCATTAGTCAAATATTTACAAGTTATTGTTTTTTTACATAAATTAATAAATCTTTGACAATATGCTACAACACGAATCAATTTTGTTAAACTTGAATATTTACTTAGTATTGAATTACAATCAACATTAGGCACTACATTAATTTTATGACAAACAATTGGCTTTAACTCTAAGTATGTATCCGGTGAAACAAAATGTTTGAATTGTGATTTATTATTTTTGTATAATAATTCTGGACCAGTCCACCACAACTTGTGATTAATTAAATCAGCTGGATCAAGCCCACGCGAAGCACAGTCAGCGGGGTTATCAGAAGAGTTAATGTGATACCAATGTTCACTATTATACAAGTTAAGAATTTCTGACGTTCTATTAGCAATGAAAGTTTTCCATGAATTTGGATTTTTTTGTAACCATGAAAGTACAATAGTGGAGTCCGTCCACGCATACACATTATTATTCTTAATTTTTAAATTAATTTGAACATTATGCAATAAATTTGCTAATAATACAGCACCGCACAACTCTAGCCTTGGCACTGAAATTTGTTTTACTGGAGCAACTTTTGTTTTTGCCATAACTAAATGAGTTTTAACTTCATATGCATTAATAACTCTAATGTAAATGACAGCAGCATACGCGTCACAAGATGCATCACTGAAGCCATGTAATTCTACTTTAGTATTAGATTTCGAAGTATCAAGCCAGCGAGGTAAGTAAAAACTATTATATTGTGCTATACTATTAACAATCTTATACCACTCACGTTTTAAGTTATCATTTAAAGAATCGTCCCAACCTAGACCTGTTAACCATAACTTTTGCATAAATATTTTAAAAACAATTACAATAGGAGCTAGAAAACCCATTGGATCAAAAATTTTAGCTATTGCAGATAAAACTTTTCTTTTAGAAATGATATTACAACTAGTGAAATCATAAATGTCAAAGCTAAGTTTAAATTTATCGTTTGTAGGATCCCATTTGATTCCTAAAGCTTTAATTGAATGGTCTAGTGTAATATTTACAGGTTTATTTTTACTGGAAACTTTTAAATGATCAGAAATATTACTAAGTACTAATTCACTATTGGAAGACCATTTATGCAAAGGAAAACCTCCACTTAAAAGGATACAAGTAAGTTGCTGTTGTAACTGGATTGCATCTTTTTCTGTATCTGCACCCGTAAGAAGATCATCAACGAATACATCGGTTTTCAGGAGTGGAGCTGCTTCAGGGTAAGCATGTGATTCATCAACACTGAGCTGGTGTAAAGTTTTTATAGCAAGATATGGAGCACATGAAGTACCATAGGTAACAGTTAATAATCTATATTCTTTAATAGGTTCATCAGGCCTCTCCCTCCATAATATTCTTTGGTAATCTGCATCAGACTTATTACACCAAATACAGCGATACATTTTTTGAATATCAGCAACTAAGCAGTATTTGTGTTGACGCCATCTTGTAATTAGATCTCTAATATCTTGTTGCAAAGGCGGACCAATAAGCAGTTCATCATTCAATGAGGTACCATCTGGTGGTTTTGCAGTACCATCAAAGACTACTCGTAGCTTTGTACTAACACTAGCTTCTCGAATAACTGCATGATGAGGTAAGTAATACTTATCTTTTTTATTTACTTCTTTTTCAGGTACAAGTTCCATGTGACCATCAGTTAAGTATTGTTTCATAAATTTATTATAGTCTTCTTTAAATTTTGAATTTCTTTTGAATTTGTTTTCAACTTGCAGTAGCCGTTGAGTAGCAATTATTTTAGAATCTCCTAACCTTTCCTTAAAGTTATCTTTAAATGGAAGACAAACAATGTATTTACCATCAGTATGCCGTGTGTGAGTAATTTCATAAATAGATTCACACTTCTTATCTTCAGGTGTCATTACTTTATAATCAGGTAGGTAAGTTTCAATTTCCCAAAATTTCCTAAGAAGTTGATCCACTTCCACTTGTGTATGATGTACCAGAATATGCTGTGGTCGTGAATTTGTGTAAGGTATCTTACCAGATATAAGCCATCCTAAGTGTGAGTTGAGAGCAATAAGACAGTTGTGTCTCTTTAAACCTTCTAACATAATGTTTGCATGAACTTCTGCACCAAGCAGAACATCTACTGTACCTGGTTTGTAAAAGTATGGATCAGCAAGTTCAAGTTTTTCAGGCCAGGTATGTGATGAACATTGTTCGACAGGTAAAAGAGTTGTAATTTTCTTGAAAACATAAGCCATAGTTGTAAACGGCTGAGAATCGTTATAGCATGAACAAAAACTTAAGTTGACCATATGATTGGTTGTGAATGATGCTTTGCTACCGATTCCTGTGACTTTAGATTGAACTCTTATTTTCTTAAGTGCAAGCAATTGTACTGCTCTTTCTGTGATAAAAGAAGCTTGTGATCCTTGATCTACAAGTGCTCTTAGTGTGTATTTATTTCCATCTCTGGATTGAACTGAAATGTGAGCAGTAGCCAATAAGACTTGGTGATTCGTTTCTACTTTGAGGCTGACAACCGGATCCGATAAAGACTGAACCGGTGCAGTTGTAGGTTGAGTGATAACATCACTTGTGAAGTTTTTATTTCCAGTAATATGTAAAAGAGTATGATGCCGTCGACCACATTTCTTACAGGAAAGCGATGAGTGACAGTTGTTACTGGTATGTCCTTTAACTAAGCAATTGAAACAAAGTTCTTGTTTTTTAGCAAACTCTTGTCTTTGTATAACTTCTAATTTGCCAAATTCCTTGCAATGACATATAAAATGTTTTTGTGAACAGAATGTACAGCTGGTTTCCTTGTTTGTAGTAGTAAAAGACTTAAAGGTTTGTTTATTTGATTGGCGAGTGATTTGTTTAAATTCTTTTTTTCTCATTCATATCAATAATCTCTAAGGTTCTAAACTGTTTTTCTAAATGTGCTTCCAACATTTTAAAAGTTGGAATATCTGTTGAAGCTCCTAGGGACTGTTCCCATTGTTTAATAGACCCCGAGTCAAGCTTTGAGGTAATTATATGCACTATTATAGCATCCCAAGTGTTCACATTAATTCCTAAATTCTCTAGTGAATCTAAACATTCTTTTGATGTGTCTAATAATAATTTTAGATTGTATGCATTTTCATAATTTAATTTTCTTTGAAGTAAAAATCTGTTTAATATTGTATTAACTATCATTCTTTTGTTATCATATCTATTTTGAAGAGTATCCCACGCTTTATTGTAGTTAGCTTCAGTAAGAGAAAAGTTTTTCAATAGTTGTTCGGCTTCTCCAATTAAACTTGAGCGCAGATAATGATGTTTTTCAATGATTGTTAAATGTTTATCGTTATGTACTAAATTTAAATATATATCTCTAAAACTTGCCCAATCCAAATAATTACCGGAGAACTTAGGCAAAGGCACTGGAGGTAGTGGTAATCTTGTTTTATTTGATTGTGATTGATGTTCTGAATTATTCTCGCATGCTTGTGTATTAAGGGATGTTTCCAAACAGTCAGAGATTAAGGTTTTAAGTTCCAATAAAAACGCCTCTGTATCAGTATATTGATTTTGAATTATTTCGTTATCATCATAATTTTCAATAAAACTTTCGTAAAACGATAGATATTTATGCCAATATTCCTTTACCGTTTCTAACCTGGTTGTTAAATAGCCTTTAGTGTACCTGGATTTGGACGTCTTCTTGGTATTAATTAGCAATGTTTCAATTTTCTTCGCATAACTACTTAATTCTCGCATCAATTTTTCCATTTTGCACGTGTTGTAAGAAGGTTATGAGTACTTGACGTTGCACTTGTGTTGCATATGAACTTTTACGTTTTAATGTACTTTTAATGCTCACTTTATATGTTGCAATATTTTTCTGATCCGGCTCGAAGGACCATTAATGTTGTTCACTTGCTTAATTAATTCAAACAAAATTTGGCAAAATACTTTTAATTACGTTGCTTAATTTAAGTGACATGAATTGTATCTCCTTAGATCGAGAATAGACAATAGACTTATACGTCATATCAATTTTTACAGACTAAATATAACAAATTAACTTACAGACTAAACAGTTACTTAACTTAGACTGTAACAAGTAGTGAACGACAATTTACATTTAAAATAGTGAACTGCACTTCTTTTTGCCCATACTCAATATCACCTATATAAAACTAAATTGCAAATAACCTTAAAAGTGTCCGCGACAGTTAGTATATTATGTTTATAAGATTCTTCTATGATCTTCAGAAGAAGAGGTAATCAAAAAGGTAATAACCAATACAAAATCATTACCCACCCTTTCCTCTAAGCCGTCGTCGGATAAAAAGGGAAGATATCATGACGTCGGTTGGTTGTTTGATCGTATTTGAATGGGTTCGGTTGTCAGTGTTTAGTTGAGATGCCGTTACAATTGCTACTAGCGACAGCTTCATTTGGGCCCGCAATCAATAATGATTTATCGTGATCTCTGTTTAAAACGCGGTCGTAAAACTAAATACAGGGTGTAACTTATTGCGAAGGTTTATGCAAATATTAATTATTAAATTATGTTTATAGTTTACGCGAGTAGTACGCATTTAAATAAAACACTTTAACGGTTAAAAACGCGATATACTAGTTAAACTTATTTGAAAATGATAGTTATGATAGTTACTTATTCGACCTGACGTTTCGGATGCTTTGCAGCAGCCGTGGTCACCGAAAGACAGAGAAAGTTAAATAAAAAGAAGTTAAAAATCATTTTCAAATAAGTTTATATTAGTTAATCGCGTTTTAAACTGTTAAAGTGTTTTATAATATGCAATGCTAGAAAGCGTTTAACTATTGAGCTAGCTAGCTATTACAAAGAAGAACGAATGTAAAGGTATTTGGACAAGCACGGACTGGTTAAATATTATTAAACCTCGTTGATGGTTGCGTTCTGGAAACGGTTCTCAATTGGTTACCAAGAATCCGATCCGAGATAGCCGGCTACGGGCTTGTGGCCTCGGGTAGTGAAAATTCATGTTGAAAATTTTAAGCATGACAGAATTTTTTCATGGTTATCATAATTCAAGCGTGGGATTTATTCATGGTAAAAAAAAAGTCTTCAATAGCTAGTAGCATGTTAATATATAAGCATCTACAGTCTTAAAGCAACCGTTCAAATATCAAAAATTACTCAAAGAGCTTCAAAAATCACTTGACTAATTAAATAGTTACACTAACATTACATAAGAGTGTCTGCATAGTTATATAAAAACATCGATTTCCAAATGCCTACGGTGATGGTATATTTGATACTTAGATTTGACTTATTTAAACATAATTAGTCCTGATAACGTTTTTAATATAGTCAACCTAATAATATTGATAATTTAAATAAAACACTTTAACGATTTAAAACGCGATATATTAAACTTATTTGTCTTACAGTCTCCCCGTGACCACGGCTGCTGCAAAGCATCCGAAACGTCGGGCCAAAGTTAAAAATCATTTCCAAATAAGTTTAACTAATATATCGCGTTTTAAATCGTTAAAAAGTTTTATTTAAATGTGTACTACTCGGGTAAACTATAGACAGTATTTAATATTGATAATATAAATATTTTATTTAAATCCAAATATAGCCGGGACTCAACTCTACAGCCAACAGCGTACTGTGCCGTTACCCTTCCATTTGCGCTTCCGTGCCTTCTCTGCGTTCATCGTTCCAAATCATTTTTCAATGTGTGTAAGCTCTCGACCGTTGCATTCACATCCAACACGTGAAATATAATTTAAGAAATATGTTTTATTATACGCGATGAAAAGTTTAATACAAACTGAGCGATCAATACAAGGATAACCAAACTTCATAATTGCGTTATATGAATAATACGTATATAAATAACGTGTCAAAATCCAATCAAGCCTAAAAGACTAAGCACTCAAGTAACACGTTGCCTTTGAAGTTGATACAAAAATAAAAGCACTTTAAAACGAGGCCGGAGCTTCTCACAGTGTAAAAGGGTTGGCAAGCGATTTAATGGCTTAATTATCTCAAGTAGTGGGAGCGGGCAACTTAAAGACCACAGAGCATGTACGTTTATCTATTATATTGAAAGAGTCACGGGACAGACTTGTTTATTGAACTATGTACTGGCTGAATACATTTTATCCCTTTGAGAAAAATTAACGATGTGAAACTTTGCGTACCTACGTCTTAAGAACTTTTAGGATTCCCATTTTTTATTGCTAGTAATAAAGGTGGTTTTAAGAAAAAGTATTACTTGAACAATTTATTGGTCTAGTTTTGAAAATGGTCCATGAAAGAGAAAATTTGGCTTTGTTCATATAATAGTCATTACTCAAACTATTATTTAAAAAGTTAAGTTTCATTCATGAGTAACAAACTTATGTTTCAAACTTATAGTATGATTATCGTCTAGCCTAACCACACTAGCGTTAAAATATTATGGAAGTATCTAGGATATGTCGATATATGTAGATAATCATTTATTTAATGTACAAAGCTTTTACACAGAACATTTAATACTATAAACTCACATCTCTTAGACTGTGAAACTCACAAATAGCATTGACAAATGTTATTTTCCTAAAAGCCAAGTGCAGCCTTTTTAATAATTAACAAATTTATTTCAGTCGGTGGAGGTAGAGCTTAATTGAGTGACGCTAATTGTCTAAGCCGTAAAAGCCTCCGGCACGAGTCCACGTAAATATAGACTGGTCCTTTTCTTTTTTATTATACTACATTCGTGAATTAGTTAATCAGTTAATTATAATACAGGCTGGTGAGATTTTCCTTTCACGAAATAAAAATTTGAATAAAAAAAGAAGGTTTAAAATTCGTTATTTAAAAAGTTTTTAATAATTATCAACCCTAATTTCAAACGAGCCTAACTGCCACGCTCATAAATTCATTGCAACATTGTCACCGTTAGTGATTGCATCCAATTAAAAGGAACCGAAGCAATCACGCTGGATTTTAAAATACACTTTTAAATTCATCTTTCAAATAAAAACAAAATATATAAGCGTTAAAAGTGTATACCTATACACGTTCTAATTAACGTCGGTGATTTCTGTCAATTTGCGCGTTGTAAATTTGAGTCAAAATCTGGCGTTCACCATAAAAGCAATAAACATGACGCAAATGGCTTCATTAAGATGTTGGGCGGGTCTTCGACTAGCAAAAAAAGATGTGTGGTGAAGCCTTAATAGGTAAATAATGACACTCAATGTTTCCGTGCGCAGCAGATCTGAAACATCATCTGTGCATCTGTTCCAGTTCCGGCGTTAGCTGTTAGGGCGCGTCCCACCCTCCGTATGACATCTTAAAAATAACAGCTTTTTGTGCCCCCGACGGAATCGGAATTATCTTACACGTATAGCGTGACAGGATCGTAGTAAATTAAAAAAAAACTTAATTAGTTCACTCCGTTATAAGGGACGAAGTGCGAGCTCTTTCTTACTTGGACTCGAAACTAAAAAACGACTTCCACGGAAATCAAGTCGATGTTCCCAAGAGCTTAAACAAGTGTCGGGTCCAACCCGTTTTGCAACACGTGTCTCGAACAAAAGAAACTCAGCCCCCCGCTTTCCTTACGCGACAAAAGGATTGCGCAAGTTTATATTAGTCGTAAAGAATTTTGAACTAAGATCTATAGGCTGTAAACCGCTCGTAATTCTCAACGGTCCCGCAATTGCGGGGGACATTTGCAACAACTGTTGTTTGCTTCGATGTTTTAATTGTTCCTAATCCGTAAAAGTTTTTAGTAATTTACACCCGCTGCGTTCTAACCGAGTTACATGTGACGCATGTTGCAGCAGGATGCGTCTATTTTCCTGTGGATCTGTAAAAACAAACGAACGACCCACTCAATAGTTTAGCGTAGTCTAAGGGTCATAGATACGAACCCCGGGATATATATAATTGTTTCGGTTGGCAAAGCGGAGACCCGATCGAAAGGTTACCTACCGGTAAATAAAGATAATCAATAAAACATGCCACACAGAATAATTCCATAAAACTATGAAACAGTATCTGGTATGGTGAAAATAATTTAAACGGTTTAAAACGAGATATTTACGATATATAGGGTTTGTCTGTTAAGGTGGTCACTGTAAACGTATTCCAAACGTCGAATAAATAAACAAATGCAATATTTCACGTTTAAAGCCGTTCAAAGTGCTTTATTAAACGTGAGAAAGGGGATAAAGGCGGATTTCGTAAAATGGCTAGCTTAATACGCAATTATGTGCCTACGCTCTTTGATAGAATTATGTAAATTGGCGCTCACGAAGATTAAAGTCAACATAGGCGACCTATATTGAGACATAAATATAAGCACTCCTTAATATATCGATTAATGAATATTAAATTCGTATTCGATGACAACGGTCGATTTTACGCGGAACCAGTTTTAAATCGTCCGCGTCCTTTCGAATTTCGCTTATAACATATTCAGTTTGCCTCTTATTAAATTCGAATTTCGAATCGAAAATTACGAAGTTACACACCTCCGTGATGAGGAACGTACCTAAAGGCATTTTACATACAAAGTGAGTATATGAGGTAGCAGTTATACAGGTAACGCCGACTTGGGTGGTCCTACGGCGATCATACGATACATAATAGCTATAAATATGTATAACATTTATTTCTGGCGTGGTTCGTGTCGCGGCCTCTATCGATTCGTATTCTGTTGGCAATTAAAGTCGCGTCTTAATTGTTGTTTTTTATATTAATTACTACTTTTTATAACTGGAGTATATTTTATAATAAACCTATTTTGAAAATTCGAAAATTTGACTTTTTCAAATAACCCTCCATAAAATGGAGTTTTTATCCGTTATTTTTATTTTATTTTGCTTTTACCAGCGTATCCTATGAAGTCAAGCAAGAATAACGGATAAGCAGTATCCACTGATTGATCAATTTAAGATTTAAAAAAGAAATAATGGAACATTAATTTTCTTACCCGAAGATTAGCATAAAACTAATTTCATTCTAATTAGTTAGAACCAACTGGGAGTCCAATAAGATTTCCAATAAACTATCTCCTAATAATCGTTCACCGCAATAAGAAACGCAGCATGTGCAAGTTTAATCTATAATAGTTCCCATAATGGTATCTGCACACTTCCAATCAGAGCACTAGATGTATATCGACTCACGAGACCGCTTGTTATCTCAAAAACACAATATGAATAATACATTAGTCACCGGCCAGTACTTAAATTGGCGAAGCTTAATTGACTTCGAGTTGAAAATGAAACGCGAGCAACCCGAGCATTTCACCAAGCGAGAGTTTTTTACCCGATCACTTCCCGCCAATCGACTTCGTAATACGCTCCTCTAGATGGTGTGCGCGAAAAAAGGAATGAAAATTTGAAAACAATAGCGAAATTAAGTGCCTCCTAAATAAACGACTTCTTCTGGCCATCGCTG